GGATTTTTCTGTTTTACTCAGTGGGAAGGCTCCTCCCCCTCATCTTCCTCCTCCTCATTGTCTTCCCTCTCCATCCCACACTCATGATCAAACCATAGGTGGGGGATCCTTTTTATGAGGTGACTAGAAGCCTTAACCCCAGGTGCAGCCTCATCCTCTGATTTCCCTGGAAATACCTGCCTCCTCCATCACTACTTCATAGTTCAGGAGTACAACAAGCATATATAGTAAAGTTACAGCATGGGCACATTTCACTTATACAAAGCACACCATACAAACTCAGCCACAAGATTTTTAAAAAACAAACACAAAGAGAGAGTGAGGAAAACAATAGAAAGTTAAACTGTGTGGGTGATTTTGCTTACTTAATAAGGGTACACTCCAGACTGAATAAATGTTGGCATGGATTTGCTACTGTGAAATGGTAGACATGAGTTTGCTGTTTGCTATTTCCTCAGGGGCTCTTGTACTGTAAAAATCTTATCATTGACTATATCTCTAATGTTTAAAGATACATAAATTGTCACATAATATTGCCTCTAAATGTAAAGCAACAGTGACTCATGGTAGTCAGCAAAACAGTGATACTTTCAATCACAGAAAGAAAAAAAAATAGGCTTATATGGATTTAGTAAGAGAGGGTTTCTTTCAAGTCTGTCTTGGATTTAAGTGAATTTCTGGGGTAATTTCAACCAAGTGAAATGTTTGTGTTACATGCTGACTGTAGAACACTATTTTATAGTAGCCTGATCTTACAAGCATCGTTCATTTAATAATCAAAGAGGAATTTATGGTGGACCTACTATTTATCAGAACTGTTCTAGGAAGAGAAGACAAACATGATAAGACTGTGTTAGAAAAATCACTGGCAGTAGTAAGAACTTACAGGGAGGAGTGGAGCTGGTTGTCTATTATTGGAAGAGTGTGTGTGGAAACTGCTGGGGGTCTGGATGGTGACAGTGGCCAACAGGAGAGAGGCTGATAAGCTACATTAGGGTACAAGCAACAAATCAGTGATGTATTGGACCCCAAAAGTCAGGGATAGAGTATCAAGAATAACAGCGTTTTATGAAATGCTGTTTGATATTTTAAGTGTTTAAAATACTCTGGCTCTCTATGTATCCATAAAACACAATTCTTTCCTGCTAAAAATCTTAATGAATTACAGTCAATAATATAAATGTTAGAATTATTGCCAAAGCAATAGCACATTTTAGAATCATCAATCTGGCATTTTGCACAGTGTGCTCTGGGGAACGCTTGTCCTGTGAGAAGTCACACTGAAAACAGTCTCCATGATGGAATAAATGCCTAAGAAAGAGCATGATATTCCCCAAACCTTACTAAAGTCTCAATGAAGTCCTACAGTAAAGAACCCTGTTTCTTTTACCCATATAGTCCCCAAATTTAGTTCATCTCAGAACTGTATTTTTTCCTCATAATTTGTGTGTTTTCCAAAAATGCTATTAAAATACAGATATAAGAAGTAGTCGCAGTGTGGCATAAATTATAATCAGGAACAAATGAGTTATTATAGTTAAAGCATTCCAATGATATGGGCTGTTTAGGGAAACACAGCCGGTTTGACCCAAGGCCCACAAGTATAAGTCAAATGGCTAAAAGAAGCCTCAAATTCAAAGTCCTGGCTTGCTTTTATCTTTTACTGATTGTTAACAGAGGATAAAGACTGCCCTTTTCTATACTAGCCAATGAGGTGAAATTAAAACAGGAAGAGAGACTATCAAAAGCTTCTAGGAACCATTAAAAAGCTTCTAGGAGAATTAGTAAAGTTGGCTTGGCCTAGTCATTATTCCATTTATATTTTCATAAATATAAAACAGATTACAATAAATCTATATCTCACAGCATAATTTTCCCTTTTTTATGATATTTACATACTGCATAAAGTATTGTCCATCACTACAGTATTTAGCATAGCTGACTATAAATTAAGTGCTGTAATCACTAACCAGAAGAAACAAAAATTATTGCTACCAGTACAAATAACAGAATCTACATATTAGTTACCATAAAGGACATTATACTGATTATACTGAAACCTCATTTATATTCCTCAGTGGTTTAAAATGAAAACCTTTATATTTTTCATATTTATAAATTAGATCATCAACAAAAGCTGCCCTAAATGTCCATTATGCAAAATAAAATACACCAAACAAATTGAGCTGTCACACGCATATTAATGTGGAATGACAGAATATTCATGACTGAACCACAAAGCTAACCTTGGGTTAGAAGCTCTTGTTTCTATTTCTACTTTCATAATTTAAAAATTAGGGTTCTGTCATATGCATTTGAAGTATTGTAATTTTGGAGCACCTTAAAATCAGAAGGAAAGTCAACATGAAACATACTGCTGCTCACTCTTGAATGCTTCTCTCATCAGTAATATTACCCATTGAATAAAGGTATCAGTGCCAAGGTAAGAAAGAATACACCTGACTACTCTAATCTCCCAACATAATGAGTGATGAGAATGCTGCATCTTTGCTTTTTATCATCACTGTCAATTTGTTGTTATTCTGGGGAGTTCTAACTTCAGTATGTTTAATTTTAACTATTTGTTACCATTTGATCATAATATTAAAAGAAAAAAGGCAGAACATTTGTTAACCGCCCAACTTAACACAACATGCTGTTAGTGTTGTTTTAAATACACTGCTACATTTTAAACTTTGGCCAGGAATTGATCAAAAGTTTTGACATTTTTAAACTGTCATACCGGCTTCTTGAGCCAAATAGCACACACCAGTTCTCTTTAAAAAGAAAACCAGACATCAACTCCAATAAATTTCTGACAAAAAACATAAACCTACTCATATAAATGTACTTCTAGTCTCCTTCAGCCTTTTTCTCGGTCACCAAGGAGTGTCACTAATGCTTTTTAAAACTAGTCACTCCACTTTTGTTCTTTATCTTATCTTTTTTCCAAGGGCCTCCAGATCAGTGTTCCGGATTTTCCCTTTGTAAGGACTTTCTGTCCCTATTTGGGCTTTGCTGGCCACATGTCTTTATCACATACTCTCAGTTTTTGTTTTTCGTTTTGTAACTCTTTAAAAATGAAAAAAACTTCTCTTGGTGTGGACTGGATTTGGCTTGCTGGTTGTAATTTCAGAAAGCTGCTTTGGTTAAAACCACAGTATTAATAATGCCAACAACTCCCTCTTTAGTGTTTGAGGGGAACCCTGCACAAGTTCAAAGCCAATTAAGAGAGAGGCTGAAGGAAATCAAACCATCAGCTTTAATATTAATAGAAGCTGAGGATCAAAAACATTGGGCTTCCTATGCAATTCCAGGTATCTTACAACAACCACGGACATTGCCTCAACAGACTCAACCTGAAATACCTACACTGTAGAGTGGGAAACCAGCAACTGTGTGCTGCAGGCAGGATGGCTCCCAACTGGCAGTAGAGTTCCTATCAGGAAGATCATTCCACCTCCAGGGGCATGGGGCTAGGCCAGCAGGCAGGCAAGCCTCAGCGAAATCCCACCTCAAGGAAACCAGGGCCATATCGAAGTTCCCTGCTCCCTGATACCCCAAATTGCCAAATCCACTCAGACTCCCTTTTCATTTATTACCATTTTGCAACACTTAACCTTTTTGAATATTTTCTTTAATTGAAACATTCTTTTCCCATTGCTCCCAAGGGGACTAATTTCTTTGTAGCCACCCTCTACCTGATTCTACCTGGGCATCCCCAAGACCTCCTCTTTTGGCCATCTTTTCTCATTCTACATATTTTTTTTCTGGTGACCTCATTCTCTTAAAGAATATCAACAATCATCTTTAAGCTTTGGATACCTAAATCTCTATTAGTAGCCCAGGTGTCTCCCTGAGTTCCAGAAGTATGAATCCCAGTAAATCCCCCTATCTTGTGAACAACAGAACCATCATCTACAAATTTGCCAGAAACATTGGTTTTGCCCTCATTGTTTTTAGGAACAGAGCACATTTGGGGCTGAAGTAGCATAAAATCTGCCTCTATACACCATTAACAACTCCTCTGAGTTAAGTGTAAATCATGTGAACAGATATAGATTGGTGAGAGACTATTTTACTTAGAGGAGTGGGTGAATGTATTTGTACAGCCATCCCTGTACCATGTGTAGAAATACTAAATTTGGTGGCAGCATAATCAGGGTTGATTTTCAGTAGAGTTTCAAAACCTGTCAGTGAAGCAATTTCTTGCTTACATAAATAATTTCTCATCATTATAAAAAACATGATTATCATTACACTTTTATCATAAGTGAAAGCAGGGGTATCATTATTACCTCTGGAGATAGCACCATTACAACATTATTATATTACTTTGTTTCTGAAAAGAGTAAATCTTAATGCTTAAAAAGTTTTGTATGGGACGGCCAAGTGGCACGTTGGTTAGTAGTTGGCTTGGGATGCCAGCTCTGAGCAGCAGGGCCCCAGTTCAGATCCCACATAGAGGGCCAGTGATGCTGCGCCCTCTACAGCTAAGATGGTGAACAACAGCTCGACCTGAAGGTGGGCTGCCGTGAGTCTCCGGTGATGGCGTAGGCTGCAGTGGGGCTGGCCGGCAGCTGGTGTGTGCTTTCATGAGCAGCCGTGAGCCACTGTGAGCATCCATTCAATGGCCGGTGAGTGACTTCCTCACCCGGGAAGAGCACGATGATAATACCAACATGGGCCAGTAAAGTGACGTCCTCCACAACTAGACTGAAGAACAAAAGGCCAACAACTTGTCTGTTCCCATTCCCCGATGATTCCCCAATGCTGTTCCCCTCCCCCCAACTCCCCAATAAAAATCTTAAAAAAAAAAAATTTTGTATGTGTATAGTTTATTTTTTTAAAAATATTTGACAATGGGGGATCTTGTTAAAATATGAAGATAAATGATACACCTAAAAACCCAGTTGCCATGATTTTATATCAAGAAAATGTTCATAGTATGAATTTTAAATTTTTTCTAAAAATAATGTTTTATCATTTTTATCTCCTAGCACCATGTGGAAGTCGTTCAACGGGTTCAGAAGGCACTGTTCTATCACCAAACTATCCAAAAAATTACAGTGTGGGACATAATTGTGTTTATTCTATAGCAGTCCCCAAGGAATTTGGTAAGTAATATTCATCTCATCATGTAGTATTTTGTTCCAGACATGCTTTATTTGTCACTACACACTATTCAAAAATATTAGAAAATATTTACTATTCATAAAGCACTTTGTAATCCTTTTAGATAGTGTTGTAATAATACAATTTTGAGGTCATTCTATTCAATCCAAATTTATAGCCAAGTACACAGGTGAACAACAATATAAAAATGAAAACAGGATTGTTTTTAATTTTTAAAAATAAGTACATTCAGTAACCTTGCAAGTGCCTTCATATTTGAATTATATAAAGTGGGAAATTACCAGAGCATAAAGCAAAATCTGCTCTGTAAAATATGTGTAAAGCCAAATATAGAAATATTATAATAATGACAAAAGTATATTAAAAAAACAATTATATAAGTTTTATACTTCATCAACACATTTCCAGAAATTTTGTTTTTAAGCACCTACTTTCTGGGACTGCAATGAACATAAAAAGACAGCGAAGGGTATTTCATCTTATCAGCCTGACAATCTGTTCTGCGTTGGCACTGAAAAGACATCTTGTTCTTTGCTACCTGTAAACCTCCCCAATCACAAGTCTTAAAAGTCACTTACCTGGCTTCTAAAGGTTTTGGAGCTGAGATCTACTTGGATCTAACCCAGGTTTAAGTTCTGTTTACAGATGCATAGGCAAAGGAAATTCAGTGAGCAGTAAAGTATGGGAGAGAGAGAAGTTCAGACTTCTACAATGTAGATTTACAGCCTTGTGTGTTATGTGGTAAAGGATTTGCTATAGCTGTAAAGAATGTGTGGGCCTGGATGACTTAAGTATTTTAGCAGAAGGACCTGGATTTTATCATATCAAGGTTTTGGGATCACATTTTGACTTAACGTTTCTGATGATACATAAAATAAGCTGATGCTTCCAGTCCAATTTCTTATAACCAGATACTACCTATATATCCTCCTTTTCTCTCTTCTGAAGGAAATCTGAGAACCTCAACTTAGGTGAGAGAACATTGTGATCAGAAGTGAAATTCTTAACCTTTTGTTTTCACCTTGAAATAGAGTGACGGTGCCAGCATTAGCAAGGTGTCTGTTTCTGTACTCTACAAATTATTACTGCTTCCTAGCATTTTGATCAGTTGAATCAGATTTGAGCTCTTTGTGAAGTGAACAATAGTTTAGAAGGAAAAACATCATCTCCTTAATTGTGTTTATTTCTTGACTTTTGTGCCCAAGAGTGTACTTTTCTTTTGCTAGAGGGGTTATAATCCCTAGCTGACAAAAAATGACAGGGTTGCTCACAGGATCCTAGCAATGATGGCCCAGAAGGCTTCATGGCTATCTGAGTCCTCTTCCGAAGCCACTGATTTGTTTTATTATACTTTGCTTTGGGGATACAATGTGGCCAAAGAAGGAGAAAGAGGAAATACAACTATTTCCTTCCTTGACATGTAGACGTGTTGATCACTTGGAGATATTTTACAGTAGCCTTTGTATGTCCAAAAAGAGAAAGAAAAAGTAGTGATTTAAATAAAAGTAAATTAACAAATTCCTAAAGAGTGGAATCTTTATTTCAGCTGGGTTAATGTAAGTTAAATTTAATCCTTTCATGTAAAAAATAATACAGTCAATATTCAATGGTTTTTAACACTAATTTTTTTAAAACAAATCTGGAATTATTTGTGGATAAAATCAAGTAGAATTTGATTTGTTAGTGAAGAAATCGATTTTATTTCTATAAATGTTGTGTAATTCTTTGTTTCAAACTGCATGTAAAGTCAAACAGCCTTGGATTCTAATCTCAGCCTGTCACATTTTAGCTATCTGTCTTTGGACAATTATATATAATCTCCTTGAGACTCAGTTCCTTTATTTGTAAAATGGGCATCATTATGTCTACAGTGCAGAGTTGTTGTGAGAAGTAAGTGAGATTGTATATATAAAGTATGTCTCACTTTAAAGTAGTTCATGATCAACACCATGAGGTTTAAGAATGCCAGCCTTGCACATCATGGACGGTGTAGAGGCCTGACCACTGCACTGCATATCTGAAGCTGCCATTGAATAATATTATATGTTATGTATATAGTCACAGGATGTGGAGTACAGTGTGGGGAGTAGAGTCAATGGAATTGTAATATGTATGATATTGGGGGTGGGGGGGCGGTGGATTAGGGGAGGGGGTTGTCACTTTGTCAGGAGTGAAAAGTATAACTATTGCATTATTTTGTACACCTGAAACTAATAATAATAATAATAATAATAATAATAATAATTTTTTTTAAAAAAAAGGAATGCCAGACAGACTTGGAGTCAAGATTTGTGAGTTCAGAGCCCAACCCAATTTGCTCTTTTTCTGTGGACAAGTCACACATCATCAGCCTGAGCCTGATTTTTCTCATCTCTGAACTAGAGTTGATAAATGTCTACCTCATAGGATTATTTTATAATTAAATAATATAACTTATGTAAGTGATTGGCATAATTACACATAATAAGTCATGTGCACACACACACTTCTTTATGTTCACAGTCATAGACTCCCCTCCCCTCCTCAAAGAAAGATGAAATAGTATGACCTGGATTACTACATTGGACTAGTGTCTTAAGTGTAGCATGGCTAAAAATGAAACATTTACATTATGTAATGAAAGCATAAAAACAAATATTTTGCATTTCACATTCCCGAGCAGAATAGGAGAATTAAATAAATACTGATCATTTACATCTTCCTATCTTTACCTTTGCTTACTTAATGTGAGATGATCAAACAACAGTCATTGGGTCTCTACAAATAAAACTCTTATTCTGCTTTTGCGTCCTCTCATTCTCACTCTGCCATAACTGCCGCTTGTTGCCACATTGGGCCTTATTTTATGACTTTTTAGTATCACTTCATTACATATCACTTCTTTTTATTTTCTCTTTTCCTATAATTTATCCCAAATTATAATCATGCCCTCTTCTATATCTTTTATATGCTGACACTCTTAGAATGTTACTTTTTAAAAATTATTATCATTTAGTGTAACATTTGTCAAATACACTCAGTTCATTCATTGGGATTTCATTTTTTACATGGGCTAAGGTTCTAAAGTTGTTATATAAAGGAGAAAATCACATGTAATCATCACCCATGAAATACCTTAACTCTCCCCTAAAAGATCATCTGCATGATTTTGCACGAGCCATATTGCCTCTGAATAATTCTAATAGGATATTTTCCCTCCAATATCAGTAGAGGTCACAGTTTCTCCAGATAATACTAGATAAGCTAGTTTGGTTTCCTATAGGCCATGTGGTACCAAATTACTTTTATTTGTTTATTTTTGCCTGGTGTAGAATTGAATTCATTAAGTTAAATGTGTACATACATGACTTGACTTTACTGGTTAATTGAGTGTCTTTGTTCAGTCCATTCCTGTCTTTCAGTTTTTCTAGATAAGAGAATTGTCAATTCGTAATACTTTCATGAGCATCATGGGATTTCATTTGATCTCCAGGTATCAGGGTTACTTTGGCAATAGTCGTTCTTCACGATTCCTGCTGTGTTGTATTGTATAATTAGAAAAATAACAATTCTGGGTCAGTCGGATAGAATTTATTGATATTTCACTCTTTCTTTCCTATACAATTGAACTGTTTCAATTGGAATTTTGGATTAAAATACCCTACTTTATTAATGAAACTATATTTTAATTTCCCTTCATCTTTCAGTTTTTAATTATCAGCTGTTTCCCCTATGGTTTGGTTACTTAAGTCTTCATGCATCGTTTTAAATGCCAGAAACATGGAAGACAGCTTTTATTTTAGTTTGAATTTGATGTCCTGTAGACCAGGAGCTTTAGAATGTAAGTGAATTGTTCACATTGTTAGAGGGGAGTTATTTTCGTTTGTATGTATTTATACCTAGAGTACATGGGCCAAAATCAAATTGCAGGGAGGGGTAATGGTAAATTTGTGGAGTAGATATTGTGCACTTCTATTTTAACAATCCTGGCTGAGAAAACAGCAGAAAAGGTTAGTATGACAGCCAAAATAGGGTATAATTCAGAGGCTACTGTCTGTTATTGTCTGTTTTGAGAAGAGACAGAGAGGGAAAGGATGAAAGGAGATTGAGTCTGGACAACAAAGTAAAGGATACAGCAGGGCAGTTGGAGAAGTGGAGAAAGTGGGGTGTTGGCATTGAGCAGCTTTGGAAACCTTCAGAGACTGTCTTGAAAATTTTCTTAATAACTTTCTGGAGAGAAGAAAGTCTCTCTGTGCTCTGTTTCAGAGGCTTCTATTTGCCAACTGAGGTAAGCCTCGCATTCATTCCGTTTGATTTTAGGGCTGGCTTTTTTTTTTCCTATGGTGCATGCAATAATAATAATAATAATAATAATAATAATAATAATAATAATTAAGGTGTCAAAAGAACTCCATTTCTGCCATCTTAAGTTGATGTCACTTCTAGTGAAACCTTCTCATTTCTGTAAGTACTTGCAAGTAAAGGCTCCTTACAAAATGTATTTGTATATATAGGACTATAATGGGGGCTGGGTGCTGAGGGCTTGTTGGCCGCGGAGGCACAATTTCCCATGTTAATTTTAGTTTTCTTTTGAGATCTGAAGAATATGAACAAATTTCTAGGGGTATTGTGTAGTGGGTTGAAGTGTGCTGTTTATGGATTGATCTCCAAGGGTCTGTCACCTCCTGAGTCACTCCAACCCGTTTAGGTGTCTTGGTTTCTTTCCCTGGCTATGTAATAACAACCACAAGGACTCGGAAGGCTAGGCAACTGGCCTTTATATGCATGTCCACAGATGAGTCAGTTAGTTAATTACAGTTCTGCTGGGATCCCTATGGTGCCCTGCCTACCTTGAGGGGTACCTTCTGACACCTCCACACAGATTCTTAGTCACCTCAGAATACCCAAAATTGGAGCTGGAGGGAGTCAATTTCCTTTATCCTAGAAGCTGAACAAATTCCGACTCTCATTTATCTAACAAAAGGTTTTGTTCATATTCTCA